ACTTGAGGAATGGAGGATGAAAGTTATATGACGGTGCAGAGGTGGAGAGGGGGGGGCCGCCGAGGGAGGGGGCGGAGGAGGGAAAGACGTGAGGCTGGACGTGAGGCTGACTCCAGCCTTGCATAGTAGCGCTTACGACTACTAATGTACCAATAGTCTTCAGAGAGAATGACAGGGTTGTTGGATGCTATGAAGTTGCTTTGTATTCCAGCTGGCACAACAAAAGAGGGGGAATAATTATGGTTTTATAAAATCGGCGAATTCCTACAAAAGAAGCAGTGTCTCAACATAGGATCTCAGGGGTCGAAACAAGATTCTCTGGCCAAGGTAAAAGTCAGTGACTATGTTTATTCCCCCTAGCCAGGATTTTGATGACGTATGCACTTACAGCTCGAATTATCTTCTGGGTTGAAGATGTCCCACCGTCAAATCCGCGTCAGCCAATAACTCGGTTTGAGCGCGTCAGGTTAAGATGAAGTAGATGTCACTTTGGTCACGCGGAATGCTTCGATCCTTGTTATTCGCTTTAGGCTTTGTCCTAGGAACTGTTATACATTCGTTTTAACATCGCATCCCAGCGCTCCCAAGCTGAGGAGTCGCCCACCCTCAAAGACAACAGAAGCAACCTTTCCAACGAAGCGACTCTAATTGGATCCCAAGTTTCACTGGCAATTATCTCGTTTCGTAAATTCACCGCACAGAAGTAGTTGTCTTGCGCGTCACCCAAACGCCCATCAGCTTCCTCCGCCCTACCGAGTAGGAAACACGCCACTGAGCCGTCAAGGTTTAGTTGCTGGGATTCAAGCCGTCTGTGTAGTTCTAGTGAAACGATGCGCTGGCATAGAAGCCGCCCAACTGATATCAGGTCTTGCGTTTTCCCTTCATCCCAGAGGTAGTTAAGGGCAGTGAGCCACAAACAAGAGGTCTCCGGGCTGTACATTCCCAAGCTCGTGTCGGACCAAGCAAGTATTGATCGAATTTGATATATGCTTTTTCCTTCGTATATGCTATAAAATCCACCTTGAGGGACTCTCGGAAAGCTGGCCTGATGGAAGGAGTAATAGGCCTTGTAATCATCCCCGACCTTTTGCCCCCACAGATGGCGGCAGTAGGTGTTGAATGTAGAATAATAATGACCGATTTCGTCTAGCCGGAGCTGCTCGAGACACTCAAACATTCCCCTTCGAGGGTCATTCTCCGGCAGAAGGGTTCTCGCCAAGGTTAAAAGATTGTCTCTCATGGACTGCTGGAACTCATATTTACCGGCACGATGAAGCATGAACAAGATAGCGAGAATATCAGGGAACTGACGATGATGGGTATTGTTGACGATCTCGCTGTATGAGGATCTTGCAGTCAGTAGTAGTGCTTGGGCGCTGGGCTCGTCCTTCACTTTGAATTTCTTCAGAGCGTCGAAGATAAGATTATGCTGCCTAGTAAGCTTTTTGAGTTCAAGTTGTAGCGTCGGACTCCGTCCGTATAAACCTTGGTGATCTGGTGCCCAAATACCGCGTGCAAAACAATCCTCGAAATGAATTCTCGCGTTGAACAGAAGTAGCTGGAAATTCCTAAACTCGTAGGGTTGCTTGAGCCTATCGAAATCAAACGGCAGGTCGATGAACACCACTTCCCTTCGACCTGGAGGGCCAGTATGGCCATCAAAAGGTCCAATCCTCTTACAGAGGTTCTCGATCTCGGGGTTCTCGAAAAGTACGTCGCCCACGAAAAACAAGCGAGACCATGTTCCTTTTTTTTCGGCAAGCTTGGCCCTGATGTAAATTTTCTCCTCCGGGGATAGGTTTTTGAATATCTTCAATTCACCCAACCGAGTTTTCCACTGATAGGCTCTGCTAAATCAATAGTATCCTATGGATATAATCGGTCCTGGATACCTACGTGAGTTTGATCTGGTACTCGGGCGGTTGGCCCTCAAAGAACGCCTTGATCTCCTCTAGTGTCCAATTCTCAATCCGGTAGAAGTAAGTGAAGACAAAATAGCTCTTATCAGGCATCGTGACGGTCTGAGGGGCTAGGACAACTTTGCTGGATTACCGTAAGGGGGTGACAGACTCTGCTGAGATTTTCTCCGGTTTGGCGCCGACGAAATTGGAGGTATATGTATTTGAACACAACTTCTCCAATAACCTTCTCCGCTGGAGAGGAGGGTGAGCACAAACCGCAGAATGAGGGCACGGCAACCAATAGTTCAATGACATTAAGTCTCACCCGACAACTATCCTGAGCTCTGGCTTTGGTTGGAATCAGGCTGGAATCTTGCGACAAAGAAACAGCCACTCTAGGTGAATTTGATCCGACGGCTAATCCGCGCCGTTTGCCCTGCTGACGTGCACGTGCATACGTCTCTCCATTGACTGGATGACATTTGTCCCGACGTCTGACGGCTGCTGCATTTCCCATTGGCCGTGGCCACCAAAATACAGCCTCCTGCAACTTTTGTTCGCTTATTTGGCGCTTTACCTGATCAAGGACTAGTTTACGTATGGGGTAGACGCCAGCTCCCGCCGTATTGGTGGAGTGCTCATCGTAACAATCAGAAGACTTTCAGTATCAGTCCCTTTTAGTAAGAGAGCTGCGCAATGGGCGAGTTTCAAAACTGGTCATTGCTTGTGATGACAAGTGGCGATCTGTATAAATGGGCCACCATCAACAGTCTTTGAAACCTGTTGGCAGACCCCAACCTAGTCAAACTGGCATTCTACTCAAACGCCTTTTTGCACCCTTGGTCTGACCTTCCTTCTCTCTCTCTCAGAGGTTCCCAAAGCACTCTGTTCGGAATATTTTTCTAGTCTAACTCTCGCCTCAAACCACAGGGCCTCACAACCAGCGGGTCATCATGGTTATAGTAATCGCGAGTGGCGGTAGCGCAGCAGCCGCTGTACCCCTTATGGGGCAAGCCGCGAGTGTCCAACTTGCGGTCGCGACCACCGTAACCGAGGCTGCTGTCTCTGTCGCTGCCGTTGCCGAAGCGGCTGGTGCCGCCGCCGCTGCGGAGATGACCCTCGGTGCAGCTGTTGCCGCTGAAAGCGTCGCGACTGCTGCGGCGGGGGTCGCTGCTACCAACATCTGGAACCCCGCTGGATGGGTTCTCGGTGGTGTTCTAATCGGAGCCAGTCCATCGGCAACGGGACAGGCGGTGGCCGTAACTTGGGGCTGCTATAAGCCTATCTTCGGCGAGCCTGATTCCGACGACAAAACGATCAAGCCGATTTCCTTTGCAGAGTTCACGACGCATCCTCAGATTAGGAGCGTGATCGTCGCTGCCAGTTCTGCGTCTGCCGGCCTTCCTGACATCAAGGTGGAAAACCATGCTGGCGAACGCTTCTTACTACGCGGGGTTGCTTTACCGTGGGGCTCAGCTGCGTACCATGCCGACCGAATCGATGAACATAGCGATATTTCCATGTCGGCAGCCAAGGGTGGATCGATTCATGATCTCTAGATGGAACCACTCTCCTCTCAACGTCTTGCCAGGTCAAAATGCCGGAGACCAACGTTGAGCGATAGGGTACGCCGGCAACTTCTGATTGGCAAGTGACGAATTTGCGACTCAAACCATTGGAACGCAAAGAGAATTGACCCGAAGTTATTTTACTGTATTGCACGCAAGAAATAGTGTGGTAAGCTCCGCATTATTTTAGGGTGCGAACGATGTCATTCTTGCAGTCCTGTGCAATGAGTAAGTTAATGCCTGAGGTAGAAAGAAGTAGATTCCGTAGATCCAGTCAGCCATAAATCATAGTTCCTGCACCCGAGGTCATCGGTTTATCTCTGCTTGGCACGAAGGACAGCTTGCCTCTACGTATCTTGCTCCTCTGGATGTCCCAACTCTGACTACGGTAAAAGTTGGAATGATTGGGATGGTAATAATTCGACCTGAAGAAGAGCGATGCCGGCACGATTCCGGAGCTTATCTTTCAGCTTCTTCATATTGCCGAGCTGATTATTTGGCACACTATATACTCGATTCGCATATGTACGGAATTTAACGCAGTACTGTACAAATTGTCCGGTTTATACACTAGGAAAGTTACAGCGGTCCCCCTTCGATGCAGCTGGTTCAATAATATAATTTAAACTAAGTTCTTGGCAGCGGGACTGGAAGACAAGCATCATATGTCTGCAGGTCCGACTGATTTCGAGAATCACTGTAAGTCGGAAATTTACGGGTGATATACATCTTAAGTTCATTGATCCCTTGATACATACCTAATGCACGTACTTCCATATGATCACCATTCGCAGACACCTCTTTCGCTTATCTAACAGGTCTTTCGACTGGACCTAAGGTGTCACATGCTCGGTGATATTATGCTGACTCTAGGTCATTATGAAGCCTGCACGATCTTGCATAATGTTGTTCTAGCCAATGATCTGGGTGGGTGGCATTTATAATATGCTTGGTCACCTACCATTTAGGACTCTGTTCCGCTTCAGTTTCTTGGCACGTTCCACTGCCTGTGTTCCTAAGTATAGCTTAATACTGATACGTACCTGGTACAGTATACATTACGAGAGCTGATAGCATATATCTATCCATAAATAGCTTTGTCTTTTAGCGCCTTGGCATTAGGGTTTGGAAATAAGCTTTGTTTTTGTGGGGGTGAATGAGGTTTCGAACCCGGCTGTAGTCGAAATTGGTCACCCAAAGGCAGCACCGTTCGTGAAGTTCACTGAGATTGTCCACGTCAACATCACGTGACTCAAATCGCATCTTCGGGTCGAGGGTCGGATCGAATCCCAGGAGCCCCAGTAGCTCGTCTGCGGGACGTCCTCCACAAGAGGCCCACTTGATCACCACACCCTCTTTTAAATCTACCAAGTGCAGAATCATCTTTAGGTAGGATATACTCCACCATTTCGTGCCTGCGCCACCTCTCTAATCCGGCTATTGATAACAGTTATTATCAACTATTTCTAACTTAGCTTACCATCACTGATTACACCTCTTGCCTCAACAAGCCTGAAATAAAGCTCTGCCCATGTCCTCCACGCAGTTCCAACGTATCCTCGCCAATTGCGAAACCATCTGGGGCAAAGGCGACTATGACCTTGATGTTGAAACAGACGATTGGGTGACGTACTGGGCAGTTGTCAAAAAAGACTTGGGAACTTCGTTTGGACCGCCCTTGACTATGACTGGGGCATGTGGCTCGGACAGTCATGCATGGAGAGAGTTAGACCGGATGCTGCACCTATGGGCTGAGCAAAAACGGAGCGGACAGCCAATGACAGATGCTCAGAGCTTGGAGGTATTCGGTGGACCTAGCGGGCGGAACAAACCGATATTACGGCAATTCATTGCTAGGACGAACGAAAGAGAGATGGATGGTACGGTGAAAGAAGCCTGAGGCAGAAATTTTTAGTCTACCTGCTCCTTCTGGAGGGGCTATTCACCTGGTTGAATGAATGCGAAGAAATTACAACGTGTGCAACGGGCATGCAGACAAGCCGTTCAATACTTTTCATCTCCCAAAGTTCGGCAGCAAACTGAGTGTATTGTGCTATGAAATCGATGACCTGGTGGAGCAATAAGATAACCTCACATCTCTTGTAATCTTTAACCAAGACCGTTCTCCCTCTCCTCGAGCCAGAGTTTAGTGTGGCTGACGAATCTGCGTGCAACACCAATTTTTACACCCTGCTTAACGAAGAACTCCGGGTTCTCCGTGCGGATTTGTCCAAGGTCAAGACAGTTCTCCAATGCTATATCACGCGCTTTTTTAATATTTTCCTTATAGCTGTCACTGTTCACCCGTGATAGATGCCAATTGGCATATTCTTCCACCACCGGCTCCAGAGGTCCGGGAATATCAAGGTAATCAGCCTGGTCAGATATTGAAGTCGCTTCAGTTCCCCAGGAGGAAGATATCACAGGTTGGGATGACTGCATTGGGAGGACATTAATGTTTATTGGTGGGAGCGTTGATCCAGTAGCGAGGTTGTTGGCGGGTTTATTTTCTTTCGAGAGCCGCTGATGTTCTTCATCATACAGCTGTTTGCGCACGTTGTCAGGAACATCATCATGAGTGTCTAGGATGCCGCCTTGCTCCACATATTTGATGATGGATTTCAGATGATGTGTCCTGAGTCTATAATGCTTTTTCCCTATTGGATCCTGCCAACGGTACTGACCTTCATGCTGGCAGGGCGGGCCTGGACATCGGATTTTCTGATACACATCTCGCCAGACTGAGGGTTGGCCAGAGTAGTTTTCCGCGTCAATCTGATCATCACGTTCGCGAAGCATTCTGTTGGTTACGGAGGAATTTCCTCTTTTGTCAGTTTTCCTGGAAGAAGAGTCGGCGTCCTCTCGATAATTAATAGATATAGAGACCGTAAGCTTCTCTTGGGTAGACAGAGGAGATCTTGCCACATCGGATTTGCCTATTTATAGCTGTCCAGTCAATATCAGTTTTTTTCAAAGCGTTTCGTAAGATCGCGCTGTGAGCGGTCATTTACAGAAACCACGATTGAGGTGCCATCCGGCTTTACACGCCGGTTACGGTTTATCTTTTGGCGCAGCACACGTTCAGCTTTCTGTTTAATCTGCTGCCAGTACGAACTGGGTGCTGAATCCAGGTCTTGCTCCGTATTAGACTTCCGCATAACCCAACTTGGGTCGAGACCTTCGACCCAAAACCCAACCCAACCTGGGTCCAGGTTGAACTTCTCTAACCTAAACTTAACCCGGACCCAATACTAGGGCCTTAATAAAATCTATTAAAACTTAATTTAATTTAACTTTTAT